TTTCTATAGCTTCTTGTCCCTCATTTCTATCTATTTGGTCTTCTCTATGCTTCTAGCAATTTTGTTTTGGGGGTAGGGAGACTTAAGACAGGGTCTCACTGTGTAGTCCTGGCTGTCCTCTAACTCTTCTGTAGACCAGGCTGGCCTTGAACTCAGAAATCTGCCTGCCTCTGTCTCCCAGTTGCTGGGATTAAAAGGTATGCACCACTATATCCAGATAAATATTATTTATTTATTAAATGAATATGGGTGTTTTATCTATGTATATGTGTCTGCACAACAGGAGACATTAGAGCCCACAGGACTAGGCAGTTGTGAGCCACTACGTGGGTGCTACAAATTGAACCCAGGACCTCTGGATGAGCAGTCAGTGCTCTCAACCATTAAGTCACCGCTCCAGTCCCAACTAGCAATGCTTTTAACTACAACAATGCATTCTAAGTTCCTCAAAAGTTTTTAAGAATCAGCTGATGGTACACTCCTTTAATCTCAGCACTCTAGAAGCAGAAGCAGGCAGGTCTTTGAGTTTGCAGCCAGCCTGGTCTACAAAGTGATACCTTACTTTAAAAAAAAAAAGTTTTTAAGAACCTCAGTAAGCACTGTGAACACAATCTCTGTGTGATAGTGTTTATCTTTCTCAAGCATATCTTTGTACCAGTAACTCCTCCTTACATAAACTGGTTTTCAAATCCCTAAAAAACTTGATGATAGAACCTGGAAGCATCGATCTCACGTGGCCAAACTGCCATGTTTCACTCGCCAGAATACATGTAAGGAAGCTACTACATCACCTTACCTCAACACTAGCACTTGAATCAAGGTTACCAAGGATTTCTGCACCTACACAACCACAGCAGCTCTTACTAAATTTTTTCTTCGTGTCAGCCATTCCTAGGCTGATTCTTAACTTCTTTTGCTTCCAACATCAGCTTTCCTTCATCTCAATCACTGAGCAAATGCCCAACAGAATGAACAAAGTACTGCTGCTGCTTCTGATTCCTGAGCGAACTGCATCATCTCACTCTGTTCTCACTTCGTCAAAACCAATGTCTCCCTGAGGACTTCCCCTGATTCCCATGACACACATAAGACCATTTATTCTTTTGCCAAGATTGTAAGACTTCTAGAGTTTGAAGGTACTTTCCAGGATCATGTAAGTCTTGCCCAACTGTCTCTTTTACCCAAACAGGAATTAAAAACAGTTCGGTTATATACTAGGCTACAGGGATAGTACACAGTTTATTTGGGAGTAGAATTAAGTTATTATAAATACAAATATATGCTATTCTTTCCATTAAAGATTTATATTTTATACTTCATTTGTTCATGTATACGAGATAAATCATGGCTTATAATAGATCTATTTAAGATGAAAAACACTTTAAATTTTGTTTTCAAAGTATTCTGGCTACCAAACAACAAACACATAATGCTGTTTTCTCTATTTTTCAGGCATGTTCAGAAATTAGGTGAATGAATAACCTGTCTCTACTCTGAGAAGGTGCTAGCAAAATAAACATGAATGTTACAGGGATTCAGGAAAGGAATATTTTGTCTACAAAATTAAAATGTTAGCCTTTGGACTACAGATGCTGTTAAGATTAACTGTTAAATTCCTAATACCCGGTACAGAGAACAACTCTGTCACTCAACTTATAAGCAGATATATTGAATCACTGTCCAATAATAGATGCTTTATATACATGTGTGTGTATGTGTCATCTTTTAACACCATTTCTGGCTTATTAATAATTATTACTTTGACCATTATCTAAATTTAAAGCCTACTATATTTTTAATAAACAATGATTAACATCTACCTCCCTAATTCTGTGAGACTTAATATTTCATACAAATTAAAAATGATTTTATCATAATATCTGTTCATTTATTTTGGGGTGTGTGTGTGTGTGCATGCATGTGCACATGAATATGCTGCGGTCAGAGAACAACTTGCAGGAATCAGTTCTTTCCTTCCACCACGTAGATTCAAGGGGTTGGATCTGAGTTGTCAAGCTTGATGGCAAATGCTGAGCAATCTTGCCAGCCCATCAAGTTGATTTTTATATAGTTTGCATTAGATTCTCCATTAAAGATGTGTTCATAAATTAATAAATAAAGAGTTGAAGGGAAGCTTCAGTTGGTAATACACTTGCCTCACAAGTGTAAGAACCTCAGTTAGATCTCCAGAACCCGTGTTTAAAAAAAAATAAATAAATAAAGCCAAGTGTGGTAACTCAATCTTGCAATCCTGTGGTGAGCTGGGCTAGCTGGCCTGTCAATGTAGCTTAATTAGTATGCCCCAGACAAATGAGAGAACTTGTCTACCTGAGAAAGATGGATGATGTTCCTGAGGATGGCATCTTCTGTTATCCTTTGGCCTCTATACACACGTACCCACAAGTACACAGGTGTAGACACACACACACAACGTTTAAAAGAAAATTAGCTTTAAAACCAGAACTTCAAAGAACTAAAAATGCATTTGCTCTCTAAATCTTAACTAGGATTTAGAAGAGATATCCCAGAAGAAATCACTCAAGGCTAACCAAGAAAACAAAGGAGCCTACTTTTATAATGACCACATTCTTTCCCAGCAAAGTGCTTATCCTTTGTTTTGCCCTTTCCCTTGGAATCTCTCATTGGGTTACTCTTTGTTTCCTTAGGCTCTTTGTATATAAGGGACTTCTAGAATATTTCTCTCCATTTTTGTTCAGACATTTAGTGAATATTCAGAGATTCAATCAAGTACACGATTATCATACACATGTCACCAGCAGAGTCAAATTAGCATAACATTTTACTTCTAAATCAGTAATTGTAGTTTACCAGAGCTCTTATTAAATATCTTGACATTACTCCAAAGCTTAAGTAAAATTTAGTTTAAAAACAAACAAACAAAAAAACCAGAATTTTTACTTTAAAGGTCAAGAGTAAAAATTTGCTCACAATTGACTTACTTTACTTCAAACATCTGGACTAGGTTCTAGAGTTACTGAATTACAACTATCGACATCACATTTAAAATCATGTATATCTTCTCCTTATTTATTAAGCATTCATGTTGAAACACTTTATTTATCAGATCAAACTAACAGCATTGAAAATACTACCAGTTATTTACCTTATATTACATAGACAGCATAAAGTACCACCAGCTTATATAAACACACCGAGTTCTCACCATATAGTTTCCCTCTTAATTCATAAAAGGTAAAGAAAAAAAAATCAAAACCTGTAACAAGAAAACTATGGACTTAATTAATAGAATAACTTACTGAAAAAACCTTTGAAGATGTTTAACCAATCCATTTTGAATAAAAATTCGTGTTCTCTTTTCAGAGTTTGTTGACACAGCTCCGGGATAATTTCAGTGACTTCCTGGTCTGCTCGGTAACCCTGAAACTTCCCACACCCAGTCCATGTGACCTGGCTCACACCCAAGCAATAGAAACGTTTTCAAAACCAAGGCTTCTCTTTTTCCAATACTGTTTCTCCTTAAACCAAAAAATAACCCATGTTGTAACTCATGGTGGCAGCAAAAATGTTGAGTTATAATTCACTCATTTTCAAAGAAAATATTAAAGCTAGTACATTCCTAATAGTTAGAAATGTATATACACACTCTTCCTTTCCTACAACTCCTCCTTTTCCTTAATATCCAAACCATGTCGCTACTAGCACAGCCACTGTGAGACAAATTCATTAAATTACATGGAATTTAAGGTACCAAAACAGGGTACAGATACTCTGGGAAAAGGAAGGGCGTTAGATATTTGATACAAAACCCAGATTCACAACATTATTTTGATCAAAGATCACTAACTGAATGCAGTATTTTAAACTCTAGGGAGTGCAGACAAGTGTACTCCAGGGAGTACAGTTATCTATAACTGCAGAGGTTCCCAAAACTAAGAGACAAGAAGTTAACTGGTCAAATGCCATGTTGACTGCAGATAGTAAAATATCTGAGTACATCAGCAATGTTTTTGTGTAAGAGCTGAAAGTCCAATACTTCATTAAGTTGCTTGAATTGTACTACATGTTAATTTATTCAGCTTACAACAGTTAAAATATAAACATTTACTCTATACTGCCAATAATTATTAAAATACCAGAATATAAATTGTGCATTAAGAATTTTAAATACTATCTAATAATATTTAATCAGTCGTGCTACATTTAATCCTAAACCATCTGCAAACGGTTTCCCCCTTTTTACAAACAAATAAAGAACGATTTAGCAATAGCACATCTCCCTGAACACCAAAATTAAATCCCTGTCCCTCCCAATTCCTTCCTGTCCATTAAGGAAAGTTAAATTAAGAAAGAGGAGGAGGTCAGTCTTCACCCTACATACTTCCTTCCTTTAGTTTAGCCAAGGCAAGGGTAAAGTAGGTTCCCCCACTCTAATAGAGGCCAGCAAAAATTTAAAACCAAAGATACACAATTAGAGAAAGAAAGGTGATAACAAAATAGAAAAGTGACCATTCCTACAGGTGCAAATAGACAGCGATAACCCACTGTCCTAAAAAAAAAAAAAAAGAAAAGAAAAAAAAAGAAAAAGAGATCTGCTTTTCAAAGTGAGCTTCACTACATGTCAAAAAGTTCACTAATGTGCCATGTAAAATAAATTACCAGCATGCCCAAGGAAACGAGTCTCCATCTCTCACACTTTCCCTGTCTCAATTGAGCCAAATTTGAGTAAATCGAAAATTCATTAGGTATTTACTACTCAAGGAGCTGTTGCAAGAAAGTCAATTATGCTCATCAGTACCATTTGAATGTGGGCCTAGATTTATAGACGTTGTGAACATGATCTTCACTAGTTTCTTAAACAGCTATTAGGTTCTCAACTTACATGCCTAGCTAATGTGACAGTTCTGCCCTTTTCCAGCCAACTAATTCTGCATACTGCTGTAAGACTGTTCAAAGAACTAAGCTCCGGGACCCATCTATAACGAAAGCTGGTGGTTTCCCTTCAATACAAAACAACTTACCTAAAGTGTCCTTCAGGTTTTTAACAATAGATGCTTTTCGAGCACTATTTTTTCTCTCCACATAGTTAGAAGGGACAAAACCTGTTTTATTCATGGAATTTCGAACTCGCCACCAGGATTTAGAATCATCCAGAAGCCATAATCTCTCATTTTTCTTGATATCCAGCTCTTGTTCTTGCTGTGCCACATAATCAAATTTGGCCACCACCACCGCTTCTTCAGCCATCTTTCAGCAGTTTCAGGACTGTAACACAGAGAAATGTTTTTGTAATAATTGTCTACATGCTTTTCCAAAAAGACATGCTTAAACATAAGAGGCCAGATATTATGAACCATGCCTATAATCCAAACAGTCAAAAGGCTGAGGCAAGAAGACCTTTACAAGTTTGAGGCTAGCCTTGGTTAGATACTGATTTTAAGCTAGACTGAGCACAAAACCAATACACAAAACAGGAGACAGGGGCTGAGACTGTATGAAGTTCAGGAACAGAGTATATGCCTAGCATATTCAAGGCTCTGAGTTAAAGTCCTTTTATAAAAAGAAAAAAATCTAAAAACATCAAAGGGTTAAAGGTGATAAATGAAAAACATATAACAGGAAAATATTAACTTTTAAAAAGCATGGTTTCTATTTAGTGTTATATAAACTAGCTTAACATTTAAAACCACCGCTAGCAATAAAAATCACTTGTATGTACTTTAAATAATATTGATGCTTTCTGAACAATTTTTCTTTCCCATATAGTTAGAAAGCACAAAATTAAAATATATTGGTATGATCAAAGAATAAAATAACAAATCCATTATTAATAAGGATAATCTTTAACATATTTATCTCAATAAAACAATCAGACAAACATAATCAAGGTCAGAGAATAACTGACAAATGTATTAGTAAGTGCAGTATAATAAGCATATACAAAGTATTCCTTCTAAAGAGAAGAATATAAAAGGAAAATATAAAAATTGTCAATACTGTGCTTAAAAAAAAAAAGCTTAGCCTGTAACTTCAGCATTTGAAGGCTGAGGTAGGAGCATTAAAACTTTTTGCTACAAATCTCAAAAAGGTCTCACACCTTTTATGTTGCTCTTCAAACTGAGAACTAAGTATACTGATACATGTGTATGAAAAATGGAGTATTAAGGGCTGGAGCAATGGCTCAGTGATTAAAAGCACTTCCTGCCTTTCCAGAGGACCCAGATTTGATTCTGAGTACCCATCTTCAGGCAGCTAACAACCCTTTGTAACTGCATATGACAGACACACATACATACAAATAAGAAATTAAAAAAATTTTAACTTAAAAATATTAAAAATAAATCTTTAAAATATTTTAAATTTAAAAATATTAAAAATAAATCTTGAAAAAATAAAATGGAATAATGAAGCCCATTACTTTATAGGCTGGGTTAAAAAATTATTTAAAACTTTCACGTAACTGGCAAAAAAAAATTTATGAAGAAGATGTTTAGTTAAAATCGGGGCCACCAGACATAATCCAGTAGTAGGAGAGTGCTTGGCACTCAGGGGTTAATCTCTAGTCATCCTCCCACCATGAAAGTGACAGTTATAACCATATTAATCAATAAAACAAGGAAAAAGTACATGAGAATACCAGGAACCACAACTGTGTTCTACAAGTATTCAAAGGGAATGGTAACACAAACAACTTTATAAAAAAATCTGAAAATAATGAAATACAATGATAAAAATATATGAAAAGTAACAAAATATAATTGAGTTAGTATTAAAGAATCTTCCCACGTTGACAATACCAAGACAAGAAAATTTTACAAGCAAATTCTACTAAAGTCAAGAAATTTATTTGTTCATTATCAACATTTTTAAAAGAAAAAATAATAAGCAAACTCACTCCTGAAACTTAGTTAGACCTGACCTCTCTCTGCTTTCTCCAGAGAGACTGTTTTATAAAAGCAGATATGCCTCACAAAGCAACCAAATAAATCCAGCCTTTTGTTTTGGGCATTGACTAGCAAATCTGTTTCTCAACAATGAAGCAAGTATTTTAATGTCTTCAGGAAAATTAACTTTAATCCAGAATTTGACATCTTTTGGCATTAAGTGTATCAACAGGTAGAGATACATATAAAGGATTTGCAAAAGCCTCAAAATCTGCCACACATTGCTTTATATTTTGAAAAGGAATCACTTAAGTCAACAAAAATAATGTTTAAAAAAAAAAGAAACAGACAACATGGTATGTAGAAACACTGATGAGCTAAGGATGTAGTAGATCAGAGGCAGAATGCTTGCCTGGTATGCACAAGGCCACAAGGGCTCAATAACCAGCATGAGAAAAACAAAGATGAACAAAGAAACTAGGCAAAAATTATTTGTATTATTGCAACTTGTCTGAAATTACTTCAACACAGAGTTTTAACGAAGTCTAAATAATTATTGTCACATAATGCAAAATTAAGTTACAATAAAGGTGAGGAGATAGATGGCTCAGCACCAGCTACATAAGCAGGAAGATTTGAGTTTGATACTCGAGAACCTGTAAAAGCCAGATGTGGCAGCACATAACTGCAATCCCTGAGTTGGGAGGTAGAGACAAGTCTCAGGAGGTAGCCCCCAACTTGCTACCAGCCCATACGGCTAAACCAGAGAACTCTAGGTTCAATGAGAAACTTTCTTCAAAAATGAGCAGAGCTAGTAAGGAAGCTGGTTGTCAACCTCTGGCATACAGACACACACATCCACATACGAATGACAACCAACTTTCTGAAACACTGAAAACTAGAAGCAGAGATAGTTTTCAAGGAAATCTTGTCCTCCCTTACGCTAAGGAAATCTTGTCCTCCCTTACGCTCCTGTCAACCCACAATTCACATTAGCTCAATGGAGTTTATTTTGATATTTGACAACGGTTCTAAAATTTTTTTAGGAAAGCATTTAAAATTAGTAATAAAAATTTCAGAAAAATAATTATTTATATACTTACAAACTGTATATCCCTGAAATAATGTCTCCTTCTTGGAGAGTTCTCTGATCTAGCCATGCAACTTGGGAGAATAACTTTAGCTTCAAGTAACTGGGTTAACAAAGGTCCATCAGGGTATCAGAATCACACAGGCAAACCCGATATGAGATGTGAACAACTGTAGCCATTTTATCAGCAGAAGGATGAAACTGACACAAAGTAGAGAGACACTTGCTTGGGAAACAGAGCCAGAACTGATAAAATATGGCACAAGCGGCCCTCTGATCCTCCAGGTCCTTGAGATAGTAATGGGAAGATTGTTTACTGTCCCAGACAATCTGGGTCATCCGTTTACTGTTATTTTCAGTGAGAAGGTCACACTACAGGTGAAGTTACCCTACCAGATAATTACAATGTACTTAAAAATCCTGAAGTAATTTAAGACAATATTCTACTTTAACAGAAACATACAATTCAATACAATAAACACAGAGATACATACAGTTAATCTTTAGAAGTCTTTTTCCCCAATGTACAAGTGAGTTCTAGTTTATGTTTTTAAAAATTGGAGTATTTGAAATTACTTGTGATTTAAATATTGAAGTGATTTCTGTTTATCTTCTTATTCCTTCGTCCCCCAAATATTTATTTAAAGGTTTAAAGGCCAATTCAAAAGCAAGTGATTTTTAGTGACTTTCTTTGATAAATCTTTCTAAAGCAAATCAACTTAGTTTTCACAAAGTAACTTTCTTTAGCACTATTTATATAATAAAGTCTAACAATACATATTCTTGAAAGAAACTTTCTCAGTAAGCACATTCCACTTAATTCATGGGAACAGAACCTGTACCAAGAGTATCTAGTTAAATGCTTCCTTAACAGAAATGGAGGGATTTAACCAGGCAAGTTAGCTAAGTCACTTCTATTGTATAAAGCATTCAAATATATATAAGGATTTTGTATGAGGAGTAGCACTGTAAATCATGTCAGAGTAAGTTATTTAATGAAGTAACTGATACCACTGATAACTGTGCCATTAGGAAAAATAGTACCAGATTTCTAATTCAGAGGACTTTTACTTTGAAGGAATTATCCATTTGTTAAGCACAAGTGAAATTCCTAAACACTGTGTCAGAAGAGTAGAGTACAAAGTGGGTCATTAAAAGTAGCATATTAAAGAAGCCAGTCTGAGGGAGACTGGAAACCCCTCTCCACCAAAGTTTGCATTTAACAAGTCATGTGCAGAACAGGTATATTCATACAAACTACTCAGTCTGCCAGGCATCAGTGCCATGGTCTAACATCTTCCCCACACTTCTCTGGCTTACTTCCTTGTTGAGAAGCGCTCTTTCTTAATAAACTGCCTGTTTCTATAACCATCCAAATGTCCCTGGTCAAATTCCTTTTCTGGAACTCAAGAACCTAGAAACAGCAGCAGAGCCCTGTAGACTCAATATCCACCAATAGCGATAATACAATAAAACAGACAAGAAAACTGAAAAATGGAAGCACCAAGGATGTAGCTCAGAGGTAGACTACTTGCCTAGCATGGCCAAGGCCCTGGGTTCAATCTTCAGAACAAACAAACCTGAAAAGAGAAGAGAGAACAGCTAGAGATCCCAGGACCCAAAGAATGATTCAGTGGTAAACTCTGGGTCTTGTTTGTTCTTAAAGGTCAAGACTGGTGAACAGATTCATTAGCAGCTACCAACAAGTAATATCAGCTCACGTTCTCCAAACAATCTACCAAGAAGGGACTTCCTGGCAATAAAGAAAAGTTTCAGACAATAACTACTTTATCCCAGTCAAACAGCACAGGAAGTAATTCATGGTCTTGTCCACAGCAAAATCCAAGCAGGAAACCTACAATTCCAACCCTCCAGCAACAATTATGGGACACGCTGCAATCTCACCAGAAAAAGCCCAATTAAGGAAGAAGAAAATTGACTTATCAGGCAGGCAAAAAAGACCTAAACAACATGTTCAGCCAAAAGGAAACAATAAATCAACATTTATAGAATTTTCTGCCCCCAAATACCAGAGTACACATAATTTAACAGGTGTTGGGGAACAAATAGAAAGATAAATTATATCCTTGGCAAAAACAAACAACAAATTTGAGTGAACTCAATCATACAGTGATTGATCAACAGAATCAAACTAGAAATCAGCAGTAGAAAGTGTGTGGCAAAGTACTTTGTCTTTTTTTTTTTTTTTTTTTTAAAATCATTTATTTATTTATTTATCATGTATACAATATTCTGTCTGTATGTCTGCCTGCAGGCCAGAAGAGGGCATC